CTATCTTGAAATTATTCATTTCCAGTTTCCTTCTCTGTAAAATGTGAGTGGAGGTGGGGGGATGGGCAGAGATGGGTTAGACTAGACGTTCTCTAAGGCAACTTGCAGCTTCTAATCCATGATGCTGTAATGCAGATCACTTCTCTTTGGGTATCAACTTCCTCCCATGTAAAGTAGAGGGTCAGGATGGACAAGATGCCACTAAGGTCTCTGACAGTTTTAAGTCTGTGATCGCATGACCTAAGTCATTTTGTGTTTATGGGCCTCAGTTTCTCCATCTGTAAAATCAGCAGCTTGGATAAGTCAACCTCTAATGTCTCCTCCAGCTTTAAAATCTAGGATCCTCTGACCTCACCTCTAGCATTGACCTAACCTCATATACCATACTGCCAGGTGAGGATTGTAAAAGTTCAGTGACTGACGGGGTTCCCAGAAAGGCCCTTAGCCACCAGCCCAACAGATGATTGGCCCATATATACACACCCTCACTTGTTTGTCGCTGATCTGATCACTAATCAAAAGGAAATGTTGATCTACTAACTTTTTATTTTTAGTTTTGCTTTTTGTTTTTTTATATTTTTTTTAATTTATTTTTTAGGCAATTGGGGTTAAGTGACTTGCCCAGGGTCACACAGCTAGTAAGTGCCAAGTGTTTGGCCTGAGGTCGGATTTGAACTCAGGTCCTCCTGACTTTAGGGGCTGGTGCTCTATCCACTGCACCACCTAGCTGCCCCTAGTCTTGCTTTTTAAAAATGTCTTCTGCAAAGCAGAACTTTCCAATTATTAGGGGAGCTAAAATAAAAAACACAACCTTTCACTAGGCCCTGCCATCCCCTAAAGCTACCATCTCATAGCTTTCCTCTCTTTCACAAACTCTTAAATTAGGGAGGAAAAAAGGCTGTTTACACCTGCTGCTTCCACTCCCATTTCCCCTTTTCTCATTCAGTTCTCAGCTCTTATAATCTGGCTTCTGGCCACATCACCCACACCAAAACAGCCCTGGCTGAGGCTACAAATTATCTCCTAATGAGGAGCTTCTGTAGCTTTCTTCAAGCCTCAGCCTTCCTGACTCCCTAGTGCTTTGGAGTCTATTCCTCTCATTTTCTCCTAGATATTCTCATTCTCTCTCTCTCCCTCTCTCTCTCTCTCCCTCCCTCCCTCTCTCTCTCTCTCCCTCTCTCTCTC